GATTTATTCTCGACGGGGAGGGGAAGGGAGAAACAACACCGTAACGTGCAATCTGATTGTTTTCCGCCCACCTACTGTTCAGTTGACCAAAAACTGCGCTCAAACGATAAAGTACTAGTGGTAATTATTCGCAAACACCGTTGGGAGTTCTGTATCGTGCTTTCAAGTGAAGGCAAGACTAAACATCGCCTAACACGTTACATCCTATGGTTTATTTCTCAGATGTTAGTTGCTGTTTATAGTATATTTAATGGCACGTTTGTACATAGCTTCGGATGTCATTTTTTTCTGAAAAAAAAGCAACTTTCATGTAACATGTGTTTAATTAAAGAAAGGTTCTGATAACATGCAGGCGATTATTGTCGAGGGAATCAGTTGACTGGTGTTACTTTGTTCGGTTTAGGAACAGTCTATGCACGAACCAGATCAGTATTTGGAATAAAAAAAACACCTTTTAAAACATTTCTTTATTGGGTTCTCACGCACATTCTGAATAAATTATTGTTTTTGTTATTTTTCTGGGCAGGGTAAAGTATCTCCCTAAACAGAACATGTTGTTTAATTGTCATTGAATAAGTCTTTCAGTGCAAATTCCCACTGACTGGCCAGTCAATTCACTTTACAGTATATCCTGTGAAGCGCTTTGAGACGTCTCACGACGTGATAAGGCGCCATATGAAATGCAAGGATTATTATAATCATTATAAATCGTTTGAAAATGAAAGCTGGGATATGGGAACTTGTCTGTAACCCGTCAATCTGCTAAAATATGCTACAAATCTCCAGGAATGCTGATGGATTGTGCAAAGATAACACACAAAAAGAGGACTGAGCAATTAGTATGCATTTTAACGCTGGGGTATGGAAAGCGTTAAAATGAAACAACGTATGGAAAGGGGGGCCACAGATAGTGACATTCCGGTGCATGTTTTTGTTGATTTTTTTTGTGTGTGTTTCCATTAAAGCCTGAATCAAAGAAGTCTAACACGTGCTGTGAAAAATTCATCGAGCGCATGTTATGGCTCAGTTAAATCACACCTCGCACTGCCTCGCCGAGTGGCGAGTGAAGCAGTAATTGGCTCAGCGCTGCTTTGCGTGACTCCACACACTACCTGGGTATTAGGAGCAGACTCTGACCCAAGGGAGGGATTGAAAGGTCGGGCAGACAGACACCAGGCAAAGTGCTGCAACACAGCGACGACACGCTATCTATGCCCAGAAGACAATGCTTAACATGAAAGACTGTGTGTGTGTGTGTGTGGGGGGGGGGGGGGGGGGGAGGGGGGGGGGGGGGGGGGGGGGGGGGGGGGGGGGGGGGGGGGGGGGGGGGGGGGGGAGAGAGAACACACATTTTAATTTAATTCCACATCTCCACTCTTCATAACCAAAAAAAGACATTGCATTTTGATCCCCTTCACGATTTTCATCTTTAAAAGCCAAATGCAGAAGATAGGGTTAAAAGACGTGCAATATTCGGGGAGGGGGCTAACCCCCCCCCCACACACACACACACCCCTCTCTATCCTTTCTAACTATGTTCAGCCATGAAACGATCTGGATTGTTTGGCTTTCCTTTTTTTAAAATAAAAGTGTGTGATTCTTCATACAAAATGAGTTAAACAAAATCAACGGCCAACAGCGGTTTCCGTATTATCCTGAAACCGTTTAATGGTAAGAACACTCACTGACTTTTTAAGAGGCCGAAATAAAAATCCACCAACAGACCACTTTAGTCGATCATCTGAGGTTTGTGGGGAGAGTGAGTGTGGGGAGAGGGAGAGACAGAGAGAGAGGGAGGTAGAGAGAGAGAGAGAGAGAAATAAACTGTGTGAGCATTATATACCCTTTCGTGGTGGTTTCAAGGCACGAACGTGTTTCAAAACCCCACAGAAACAGAAGTGTGTAACTTTGCGTCGACTGCCTTTTGAGTGAAGTTTCTCCCCATTTTGGGGGATTAACTGATAGGCTTAAAATCTGCATTACAGGTTAACTCGAAACACATCCTTTTAGTATGAATTAAACAACCACAACCACACACCCCACTCCTAAACCCCCCACCACCACCACCTCCCAAAAAAAAAGTTACCAAAGCGACTAGGATCGAATTAGGGGGAAATTAGCCTGGAGTATTTTTTTAAAAAGCAAAGAGAGGAGGATGAATCTTTGGCGTTTGAAGGTTATGGGATTCGATTGTGTTAGTCTGGGTTTAGTTGCGTGACTGGACACACAGCTCAAGTCGTCCTGTCCTGTCCTGCAACTGTGACATCCCATATCTCCATCTCACACTCGCACGCAACTGCAGTGTGTGTCTGAGTCGCACGTAACACACCATTTCACCAGAGGGTCACACACACGAGCTCTTTCCACCCTCTGAAGCGGTTAGGATCCTGTTTGGAGAGAGAGAGAGAAAAAGAGAGAGAGAGAAAAAGAGAGAGAGAGAAAGGGAAAGAGAGACAAGAAATCTCCATTCACCCCCACACCCCCCCACACCCCCCGAGCCCATGAAAAGATTCCTCGCGTGTGCAAAAGAGTTAGAGTCACGCGATGTGTCCGCGAACTGAACCCAGCAGATGTAAATTATCTTCACTTTCGCTTTTATTTTTTTTAAAAAACTAATACAGAACGGTAAAAGTTCAGTTTTTTTAAAAAAATAAGAAGTGTGCAAAAAAAAAACACACACACACTCTCCAGCACCGAAATTCACAAATGAATCAATGAGATATAGCGGAGAGATGCAGAGACACGGAATATATATATATATATATATATATATATATGTACTGCATAATGCCAAAAAAAAATGCCAAAATGCCCCTCAAAAAACACGTATTGATTGTGTTTCCATGAAAAAAAACATTTACAAATCTTGAATGTCGCCAGTGGTACGGTTTGCACGTGTCCACGCCTCAAAAGTGAGATCTATTATTATTAATACACGTTTGCAACAGTTCCTGACATTTTGGGATAGAGGGTGAAATCAAATCATAAAATATACTTGTGGCAGAGTGGCGTGTGACTCGAGCTCGTTGCCTCATGCAGGTGCGAGATGGAATCCTATTGACTCAGCCAAGATCACACCCTCATTTGAGCGACTTTCGTGCGAGAGGCAAAGGAGGTTTACAATAAATCAATCAATCAATCAATCAATCAATCAATCAAAGTGCCGAGTGGTGTGGCAAGTGGCTGCAGCGATTCCTCACCAGACTGATCCTCGCCATCCATCCCACAGCATCAGAGATAGCAGGAGCTCTCCCACTCTGGAACACTGAGATGGGAGCTGGGGGTGGGGGTGGGGGGTATCACATGAATTATACACTGCACAGCGGAAGGGTAAACTTGCCCCAAAAGTCAGCTCAATGCAATGCAACACAACCAACTGAAATGCTAATAGTTAGCTGTCTGACACACAAGTTGAAATAGGGCTGACGGCAGCAAACCCATCATAATTCACCCCAGGCTCTCTCAATCCTATTTCAGACCAGCGCCCCTACTGAGTCCAGGAGCCAAAAAGTTATTTTCTCACCCGAAACACGCACGCATGGATCCCATAAATACAATATTGCACATCAAATTACTTATTGAACATCAAATTGCTGCTCATTACACATCAGGGATGGAGTGGGGGGGGGGGAGGAATGAAAGCCTTAGGAAATGGAAATGGCACAGACTGTGGGTAAACGGCTGTACTGCACGGGAGGTGACACTCTCATCGTGAATTTAGATCGGTGTAAAGGGAAGATAAAACGTACATTTTTTTTTCATTTTCAGTAGTTAACATCCACAAAATATACAGTCGATTCACTTTGCAGGAAACTCTGGGAAGCGCTTTGAGACGTCTCGAAGACGTGATGAGGCGCCATATCAAAGACAAGGATTATAATCATCATTATTATTGTTGTTATTATTATTAACAGTCATATTGCACACAACTCCCCCACTCCCCCCCCCCCCCCCTCCCCACAACCCCACACCCCCAATCTCACCAGCAAGTCATTGATAAACGGGGAAGAACGTTTTAATAATTATTTAAAAGCAATCATTTCAGAACTATTTGCAATAATATCGACACGTATCACGGCTGTCAGTAATAACACGAGTCAATCGATCGGAATGTATACATTGTCTGAACGACACAACGTTAAAGGAAACACGCAAAGGAGTCAGGGTCAGGTGGCAGTGCGGATGGTGGGGTTGGGGTTGGGTTGGGTGAAGATTTTACTCCAGCCTTCCGCTACGGGAGAGTTACGTGGGTACATTGTGTTGTGAGCCTGTGTTAATCTCGGCTGTGCATTGTCACGCTGAATAGTTTGGGACATAGCGATGTAGTGTATATATAAGGCTGGCGAGGCACACACTGCTTTCTACATGTGATCTGCAGCCAATCAAACGCGAAGAAGGTGCTTATAAAAGGCCAGGCATCGCCCGTGCTCAAGTCAGGTTGGTCAGTCACTACACGCCCTGCAAACCGTGTCACTCACTCAACTCCCCCGTTAGTTGGGACGCGCTTTCTCAAGACGCGCAACAGCAATTGTTTTGTTGTTGGCAAAAGAAAAGGTAGGTTCAGCTTCTCTTGGGACCCCGTTTAGGTGCACTAAAATAATGTCGTGGGGGGAATAGAGGAGGAAAGGGGGAGGGGGGGGAAGTGCTGCATTTGTCCTGTAGATATGTTTTTGCGCGTAATTTCACAGTGGCGGGGAGTGTGACCGCGAGCGGGTTTTTATTAGAGGGAGTCTGGAAGGTACGGGTGGAACTGAACGCGCACTCACTCACTCACACAGTCCCAGTCTGCAACCTGGAAGCTCTAAAGGGCAGCGCTTTGAATGAATGTTGGAAACGGCTCCTGACAGGTTACCCGCGTGTGTCTCTGTGTTTGGTTTGCAGCGTGTCCAGTGTCCAGTGCCCAGCGTCCAGTGCCCAGTGCCCAGCGTCCAGCATCCAGCGTCCAGTGCCCAGCATCCAGCGTCCAGTGCCCAGCGTCCAGTGCCCAGCGTCCAGCATCCAGCGTCCAGTGCCCAGCATCCAGCGTCCAGTGCCCAGCATCCAGTGTCCAGTGTTCAGTGCCCAGTGTCCAGTGTTCAGTGCCCAGTGTTCAGTGTCCAGCATCCAGCGTCCAGTGCCCAGTATCCAGTGTTCAGTGTCCAGCATCCAGTGCCCAGCATCCAGTGCCCAGCGTCTAGTGCCCAGCGTCCAGTGCCCAGCGTCTAGTGCCCAGCGTCCAGTGCCCAGCATCCAGTGCCCAGCATCCAGTGCCCAGCATCCAGTGCCCAGCATCCAGTGCCCAGTATCCAGTGCCCAGTGCGTCCCTATGTGTTATAACATGGCTCAGATTCTCGCCGCTGGGCTGGACGGGCTGACGGGATTCGCTGTGACCGAAGCCTTCACCGTCCTGGCCAGCTCCTGCCTGGTGTTCCTGGTCATCCGCAGCTTCCGAACCAGAGTCCCGAAAGGCCTGAAGCCGCCCCCGGGGCCCCGGGCGCTGCCGTTCATCGGCAACGTCCTGGACCTGAAGAACCCTCACCTGAGTCTGACCGCCATGGGCCGCCGGTACGGAGACGTGTTCCAGGTCCAGATCGGCAGCCGGACGGTGGTGGTGCTGAGCGGGATCCACACGCTCAGACAGGCGCTGGTGAAGCAGGCGGACGATTTCGCCGGACGCCCGGACCTGCCCAGTTTCCGCTACATCTCCGACGGCAACAGTCTGGCTTTCGGCAACGACTACTCCGACGTCTGGAGAGCGCGCAGGAAGTTGGCGCAGAGCGCACTGCGAACCTTCTCCGCAGACGAGTGCAAGAACTCCACGCACTCGTGCGTCCTGGAGGAGCACACCTGCAAGGAAGCCCAGCAGCTGGTGGAGGTGCTGCTGGAGCGGGCGGAGGGCTTCGACCCGGTCAGGTACATCGTCATCTCGGTGGCCAACGTGATCTGCGCCATGTGCTTCGGCAAACGCTACAGCCACGACGACCAGAAGCTCCTGGAGGTGGTCAACCTGACCGACGAGTTCGGCAAAGTCGCCGGTGCCGGGAACCTGTCCGACTTCATCCCCGTCCTCAGGTTCATCCCCAATCCCACCATGGCCGCCTTCCTGGAGGCGAACAAGAAATTTATGTCGTTCCTCAAGAGCATCGTCAACGAGCATTACCAAACTTTCGACAAGGTGAGTCCAACCATCATTAATAACCTTTGCATTTGACGCAGCGCCCTGATCACGACGCCGAGGCGCCTCAAGGCGCTTCACGGGATGCACTGTAAAGCGGACCCGCGTCTCTGTCGTCGTCAAAACGTGGCGTTGCGAAAAAAAAAATGATTAAAAATTAGCATTGTAAAAGGATGGAGGTCGGGCTTCTTAAGCCACGCAAATTCTTGTGTTCTTACGCCGGAAATTTTCTTGAACCGTTCCCACCGCATTCCGAGTGTTCCATTGCAGCCGACTGTAACCCAGAACTGGAATCCCGTCTCTCTTTGCAGGATAACATTCGGGACATAACGGATTCTCTGATCGAGCACTGCCAGGATNAAAAAATGGACGAGAACGCCAACATTCAAGTATCGGATGAGAAAATAATCAACATCGTGAATGATTTGTTTGGAGCCGGTGAGAATTGTACTGTATTGTGAAACAACGGCGACAACTTGCATTTATGCAGCACCCCTCACACAGGGTAGCGTCCCAGAGCGCTTGAAGGTGACGGAGCACGACTCCGCCACTGTCACAACAACAACAACAAGATTACATTTGTATAGCGACTTTCACGTCGGGAGGATATCCCAAGGCGCCGGACAGAGAACAGCATTTCAGACACGAGCTGGGGTTGGGGGGGTAAAGGGAGGGGAGGGGAAAGGCAGGTGGACGATTAAGATTAACATGGGTTAAGAGTTCTCAAATCAGACAGCCCCCACTCCAATTTTAAAATAAAAGATATATTTCAAGTCCTGTAGATGTTGACACCATTTGAAATACTCGACGTTTAATCAAAACGTTTAATGTAAATTCATGACCCAGTTAGCTACTGGGTCATGAATTTACATTAAATGTGAATATCATTTATTAATCCCAGTCACAAACACGTCTACAATTCAACTCTTCCCTCCACCAAGATTGCTCGAGTGTTTGAGAATTCATATATGTTTTAGAGTTGCCTAAAAGTTTTCCTCTCTTTTTGATGCAGGTTTTGACACCATCACCACTGGGCTGTCCTGGGCTGTAATGTATCTGGTTTTGTACCCTGACCTTCAGAAGAGACTACAAGATGAGATAGGTGCGTGTTTGTTTTGCTGGTGAAACGTTTGCACTCTTTTGGATGTGGGACTTGTCAACAAGGGTATGAGCCGCTGATCTGATCGCTGGCTATTGTTCTTTCCAGATGAAAAGATCGGAAAAGACCGAAGCCCAAGATTGTCTGACAGATCCAGATTACCATATACTGATGCTTTCATCTTGGAAACCTTCCGATACTCGTCTTTTTTACCTTTCACTATTCCTCATTGGTAAGTGCAATCTGAAATTTATTGTCATAACCGATTTCTCCGCCCTCCCCTCCAATAAGTTGCCGTTTGTCAGCAAGTACTCCAGTGGATTGTATATGATATATGAATGAAGGTGAATGATAAAATACACAGCACTTAAACTGTACAGTTAAACAAAGTGCTTTGACAAATGATAAAGCGCTGTATCAAATGTAAGGATTATTCTATTAAGGGGAGCTTAGAAACAATTTCCTTACACAGAGGGATGTGTAATTCTCTGCTGCACACAATAGCTGAAGTGGGGTTCGTTAATTCTTTTAAAACATAATTGGATAGATTCTTGAAGAGGAGGGCTATTAAAAGGGATTGGGAGCAAGTAGGAGAGCGGCATTTCATTCACTCGTGGGAAAAAAACACCAATTTCTTCTTTTATTCTATTTCAGCACCACAAAAGATACTGCATTGAATGGATATTTTATTCCGAAAAACACTTGTGTTTTTGTGAATCAATGGCAAGTGAATCATGACGAGTAAGTATCTTTTTTACCTCTGTAAAGTTAAAAGTCAGAGATCTGAGTGTAAAATTGCAATAACTGTGATGACTTGATCAGCAGTGATAATGTTTAGAGCATGACCAGTAATTATTATACATGTTGTCTGCAGTCATAAACGTGCACCTTACAGTTACATTGACATGGAAAATGGTCTGCATTGAAAAAGTTGCTGAGGCAGACAGGAGTTGAAATGGGTTTGAGCAAATGCATGACAAATTCTTGGGGCCAGGAATGGAAGAGGTCACAGATGAGAAAGTGGATGAGCGAAACGGTCTTTTTACCTTCCCTCTATTTTCTTCCCACTGTCCATGCAACTCTGCTAAAGGTGCTAATTTGTGCCTGGCAGTTTCACAGGCACTAGTAGTCTTCGGTACTTCCCCCGGGAATCATTCTCGGAGAACCTTAGACATGAATGAGTCTGAGCAGGCAGTACAACCAACATTCATACCTGTGCACATTTCAACAACAGTTATTGGATAACAATTAGCATTAAAACTGCAGCTACTTTTTCCACATCTTTCTTAGCCCGGGTGAGATTAACCAATTCAGCACAGAGCATTTGGATTGTTAGGACTTCTCCAACCAATAAAAAAAAGACCTCCTCAGAGTTCTAAACAACCCAGCCAAAGTACGCACACCAGTCCAGAGGTATGCTTGTGTACATGCAGGTTGCCAAAGTATCTTAATTCGACAGACAAACTCCCTTTTGCTCTGATCTTCATTGCAGTTTCATTTAAGAACTGATGAGATAAAGGTAATTTCCCCTTTCGCTCTGAGACCTTTTTTCAGACTGGTAGTTTTGTGCAAATGTCATGGTTGAACATCACAGGGTACAACCCCTTTTGAGGTAGCTTTCACAAAAATATGGTGTGTAAATTGCCTGTCTGAATTGGACAACCAGCCTGCTACAACTAAAGTAAGCATTACATGTAGTGGTCTGTCTTTATATGTTCATATCCTTGTGCTAAAACAATGCTCATCATTCTTGGTGTTCTGGTGGTCTCTCTCTCTCCCCCTCCTATACTCCCGCCTTATCAAATAAGGTCAAATTAGGATAGAAAAATAGAGGGCAGGATACCATATTTTGCCATGACACTAACAAATGTACACTAGTTCAAAAGGATAGCTTCAAGTGCATCTCCAAGTAAATATGATCGTGGATTGAGTAGAAGTTTAGACCAGCAGTGTATATTTCAATAGGGGAGCTGCATGATAGCTATTATTGTCCGAGAAGCTGGCCCACTTGAAGGGCGCAATATAAATGCAAGTTGTTGTTGTCTTACATGGCCTGTGCAGCAATTATTGAGTTGTCAGTATCGCTCCACATTTAAACGTTCATGCTGTTTACTTAATTGTGGATTTCCTGAGTAACCTGCACAATGTATAAATCAACTTACTACATAAAGGATTAATTATTGCTTCAGACCGTTTCAGGGTTGAGTGCCTAGCAAGGACAAGGTAGACCTGTGCAATTCTACCATCTCAATATGTCTTCTCAATTTTTGTAAAAAAACAAGTAGTGTTGGATTGATGTTAGCTTTGGTGATCAAAATGATATAATCACTCCATTAAAAAAATCCTGAAATATCATGTATTATCATTAAAATGACCAACAATGGCTGTTTGAAAAAAAAGTTTGGGTTTTTGATATTAAAAGTTCTAAATACTCTTTCCAGGCAAACTAAATTTCACAAAACAGAAAGATGTTTATGGGCAGGATAGGGATTCAACCCTGGTATGTTAATGGACCTAATGGAATGGAATTTAAAACCATACAGTGTAATTATTGTATTATTGCATAATATTAATAGCCTGGTATTTCACCTCCAAAACATACAGTCAATTCACTTTACAATATATTCTGTGAAGCGCTTTGAGACATCTAGAAGACGTGAAAAGTTGCTATATTGAACGAAAGGATTTATTATGGTAACATTTCTACTCAAGGCATTTACAATAAAGTAAAAGGAAATGCACCAGGTGTGAACTGCATCAAGCTCAACCCAAATATAGCCCTCAGCTCCCAGGGTTTCCACAATAGGATTTCCAGAATATTATGTTACAAGGATTGTCTGTGCGTGTAAGCACTCTGGGGCACTACCTGGCGTAAGGGCACTATATAAATGCAAGTTGCTGTTGTTGTGCTCTCAAATCAATTTTAACAAAAGAAAGTGCATTTTCAACTCGTGCTTTGTATTTCAGAAAACTCTGGACAGATCCCTTCACCTTCAACCCAGACCGCTTCCTGAATGCAGATGGAGCGAGCATTAACAAAATGGAAAGCGAAAAGGTGTTGCTATTTGGCATGGGCAAAAGACGATGCATTGGGGAATCAATTGGGCGCATTGAGGTTTTCTTGTTTTTCACCACTCTGGTTCAACAGTTACACTTTGATAACATTCCAGGGCAGGAGATTGACACAACACCCATCTATGGACTGACAATGAAGCACAAGAAATGTGAATTCAGAGCAGTGTCACGATTTGCTTCTAAATCTTCCAAATGAATTCCAGAGAATCTTTTCGATTGTTCAGGGAAAATAAAAAGAGACTGAAACTCATATTTTTATCCATTGCAAGTGCATACCATTGGCATGAGGGAATAGAAATCTTAATCTGTGTGTTTTGTTCTGTTTCATATAATTTGCTGCTGATGTGCCACTGTTTCAATGTATTTAAAATACCTTTGGATAGGTTTGAAGAATGATGTAAAACAAAAATGAAGTTTAATAGTTGCATTGAAATACAATTCATTTTGCATAATGTACTTATACTTTTTTTAAAAAAATTTCCTATCGAAAATGGTAAGGAATTAGACTACTTCTTTATATTATATAAAGGGACTTTTAACATTTTTTATAGCTAAGAAACATTTATAAGATTTTAAAAAATGGTTACAGTTAAGTGTGGTTTTGTGTTTATTGTAGGGTGACTCATAGCAAATGTTTATTTTAGTGATTAGTTCAACCATACAACTTGGGAAACTCATAGACTTGATCTATGCTAAATTAAATGGCCTCAGGTGGGTGTCTCAACACCCCTGTATTAGGAAGTGCAGAATTAACCAGGATCTCTGCTCCTGAGATGTGCGTGTGCATACTGGGTAACGATACTGGAGCTTGTTTGCTGCCCCCTCACCTTTCCCCATATAGACTCCCCAACATCCTGGTAACAGAGACAACATTTGGGTACTGGGATTGGCTGTAGTATCTCCTGGAGGTGGAAATTTAGGAAATCGGGTTCCTGGTTGTTATCCAGTACCACTACCCCCCACCCTGCCACCCTGCTGCAAAGGTGTCAGGTGAGGACTGTTGACTATCCTGTCAATCCTCACAAATAACAATGTCAAAGGCATGAGGTACCAGAAGGGAGCAGGCAGCAAGCAAGTGTCAGCATCTTTAGATGAGAGATGAGGGGAGAAAATTGCTAACAAAGAGTGTTCCATCATTCTGTACATCATTATCTTGTCAAAAATATAAATCACTGTATTGAAGTTTCTACTGACAAATAAAACTTTGTAGTTGTTTCTGATGGATGAGACCTTGACATTATCAAAGATTAAATAAATATTTTGTGGAAGGCCGACAAGAGAATTGGAAAGGTTCAGCCTCAAGCTGACTAAAGCATGAATGTTGTTTCAGCAACAGTGGAAGTAAGGTAAGGGTGTAAGCAGGCAATGTGGACTCCTGTAGCTCAGTGGTTCAGAGCACTCGCTTTGCAAGCGAGAGACCTGAGTTCAATTCCAGGCAGAGGGCGAAACCTTGGGCAAGTTTCCTTACTCCACACAGAGCCTAATAATAATCCCTCCAAAAAACAATAATTAAATTGGTCATTTTCAATCTACGACTGTTTGTGGGACATTGCTGTGCGCTATTGGCTGCCACGTTCGCCCACAAATATATACAGTCAACTCACTTTACAGTATATTCTGTGAAGCGCTTTGGACATCCTCCCGACGTGAAAAGCGCTATATCAAATGCAAGGATTATTATTATTATTAATGTTCCAAGGGTGAAGGAAGGTAGTTTTAGTGATGCTTTGCATCTGGGGTTTGAAGCAAAGCTGGAAGTCAAATAGAACTCGAAGATGCCACATTGACTGATTAAGTCTGAGTAAGCAGCCAAACACAGCGATAAGAGTCAGAGGCGCAAAAGTTCAAATGCAGGAAGTTAAAGCTTATCCAGAACTTGATGTCCTGGAATTGAAGGTGGAAGTGGAGGTAGCGTTGGTGTCATTCGCATATATTTCAAGTGAATTTTTCTGAAATATAAGAATGGATATTCCACAAAGAGTGCCTGCAGTTCTCCAACTTAACCAAGAGAGGGCCAGTAATTTAAAGGCAACCTCATTAAGACATTCATTCCTACAACTGATGCTACGAACAGCCAATCTATTCCCTTCCATCTAAACACTGTTTTTAACTGCTAATTAAAATAATCTTCAAATTGATGTACTATCTGAGATAGCAACTAGCTTTATTAGTAATGACAATCCTTGCATTTGATATAGCATGATTTGATATAGCTTGATTCATCATGTCTGTTGTTCAGACGTCCCAAAGTGCTTCACTGAGTTTACTGTAAAGCAAATTGACTGTACATTTTGTGGGGGAAACTCAGCAGCCAATTGCACCTAGCAATGTCCCATAAACAGTTGTGGATTCAGTGACCATACTATTATTTTTATTTCAAATGTAGCCCTAATTCGCTTTGCTCCTGTTAATAACATCAAAGCCCAAGTACAACAAGGATTTGTCAATTTCAACACACACCATGTCTCTTCACCTCTCTCAATAATAACACAGTGTGTAACAGGCGATCGATTGTTCATAGTCAGTTAAATGGGTTGAAGTTTGATCTAAACTTTCCACCAAATACAGTAGTAAACCAAGAAGGATCAGTCCAAATTTATCAAGGCTTTAAAGCTCAAATTAATGCATTAAAATAACAATGTATATTACTGCAAGCAAAACGTTTAGGTGGGAAGATTATTATTTTAAGCTTATAATACTATTGCAGACTATAACCTATCTCTACTTAACCCCATAGGAACAAACAGAAGGTAAGATACATAATTATAAACAGCAAAACTGCTGCAACTTATAGATCAAGAGCTCGTTGGCTCAAATCCTAGTCCAAGTTGAATTTGCTGCTCTCATCTAGGGCTGCATGGGAGGTTAAATTGGCCTCAGCCATTCCAATTCATGTAAAGGGAAACCCAGCCAAAGATTCTGCTCCTTGTCCTTCTGAAGTACCTTCTATTGGTTTTGTATGTGTCTGGCAGCTGGATGGGGAGAGATCAGGCTTGCCTTTGATGTTGTCTACAGTAAAGTGGCCTGCAGCCACTCACTGCCAAAACTCACGTCTTCATTTGGACAGTGCACCAGAGGGAAAGTGATATCTGTGGATCTGCACTCCAGAAAGACATACATCAGTGGGAAGAATATTAGAAATAAATTGGAAACACTTAAACTTATAAAAGAAAGCGACATTTCATATCAATGTTATCATCAAAAAAACACAGATTCGCTTTTCAGTGTTCAGCTGAAATTTACTGCCAGTGTAACAGTTAACATTTGTGGTCTCTTGAATAGATACGACCAAAACTGATAAGATCACAACTTTGGGACATACTGCAATTGTGGTTTGAAGTAGCGTGAGAATTTTTAGAATCAGTCTTGTCCCCATTAACACACGCTACTACTACAACAGAGACAACCGTGTTTCTCTTTCATTGTTTTTAAAAACAACTTCCATCCCTCTGCGAACATTGACTCCTGCTGGCTCCAGTTTAATGTGTGCTGACCGTTCTCTGGCCTAAGTCACCATTATTCATGTGTGAACTGGGACAATGAGAGTGGTCTTTTTTTTACCATGGTTACATCGCAGCCGAGCCCTATCCTGCCCTCTTCCATATGTTCCACCAAAATACTTCCAAACAACAGTACCTCCAACAATTGTGCCTGCATTGTGAGCGTAGATCCTAGTGCCGGGCACAGACCCTGGGGCACTTGAACAACCCAAAGGTGAGAACGCAAACAAATAATAATCCTTGCAAGGATTGCAATGCCTTACCATATCGTTGAGACTCCTCAAGCGCTACTTGCCTTATTAATCACCTTATTAACCACAGATTTGACAAGTCAATTGTGCACTGCTGTGTAATATTGGCTGCTGTGTTTCGCCCAAAATTTACTTCACTTTAAATTTACTTTACAGTATATTCTGTGAAGCGCTTTGAGACATCTAGAACGTGTGAAATGCTCTATATCAAATGCAAGGATTATTATTATTAGGATTATCATGGTGAGCAATGAGTCAAGTAAGAACCTCTGGGTCTCCTTCAGTTTCCCCCTTGGCAAGTTCTATACCATCCCTGGGGAATATGTGCTTCCTATTCTTTTACGAGGTCTGTTGTTAAAGTACGGTATGCCTGTCTCAATGGTTGCTGAGTCCATAAACAGCATTTAAAAGGGAATTGGCTAAATATTTGAGTCAGGGCGGTGATGGTGGATGATGGTGATGGTGGGGGGAGATACTGGGTAAAGAAGGGAAGGGATGAGAGTAGAGAGCTCCTGTGAGTAGGCAGTGTTAGCACAACCACAAATGATCTCCTCCTTGTGCTGTAAACTTTCTGTGGCTCTTTTTTTTGGTCAGTCGGATGTCTGTTGCATGCAGAAACCCATCACTATGTTTAAGAGTATCCAAACTAAACTCAGAATTCCATGCATCCCACCTACACATGGAAATCCCAGGGATAGATTGTTGGAATGGAATGCGCGTTCTCTCCTTGGAAGGAAGTATCTTGCTTACCTAATTCTGGAAAGTAAAAGGCATAGGTTGGCAGGGGCCAAGGCTTGGGGACCCTAGAGTATGTGTTTGGGTAAGGCTGGATTCTAACTAACTGCATAGCTTGTCACTGATAGCAAAATCTGGCAAGCTTACCCACTGCTTGTCCAGCTAGGACCACCCTATCCGTTAGAGTTTGGGCTTGCAGGGTTAACAGGAGCTGAGTGGGAGGATTCCCTGTCCCCAGTGACTGGTCTAACATTTCAAGTCCTGCTGGTGAGCTAGGCTGTCTGTGGCTCTTACTATAGGGATGATAAAGGTTGGTATCATATAGGGTGACCATATTTTGTAAACTAAATCCAGGGACACATATAAAAAAAAGGAATTCACCACAATTCCTGATGCTGGCAGCTACAGGAGAAGTTTGTTGGATTAATTGCTGTATTTCTTTGATGAGGGCATTCGATTCAGAATCATGTTGTTCTTGCTCAATCCAAGATGGGACAAATTTTTGCCGCAAAATACACAGTCAATCCACTTTGCAATATATTCTGTGAAGCGATTTGAGACGTCTCAATGACGTGATTAGGCGCTTTATTAAATACAAGCGTTATGCTTATGATAAATTTAGTCCCAGGGACACAACACCTCATCCAGGGACTGTCCCTGGAAATCGGGGGACATACTGTCGATCGGTTGCCCTAGTATAGAATGGATGAGGGTACAGGCGGTAGAGTTTTGAATCAAGTTGGATTTTGTGGATGGTGGAGCTGGGGAGACTGGTAACCTGAACAACAACAACAAAATTACATTTATAGAGCACCTTTCACGTCGGGAGAACATCCCAAGATGCTGGACAATCAGGGATCCTGACCCGAACATGGGGGAAGGGTGAGGGAAGCAGAGATGTGGAAGGGCAACTGAAGGCATGATTGAAGAGGAGGGTCTTGAGACTGCCTTGAAGGAGGCAATGGGGGAAGCGAGGTTAAGGGACTGTGGGATGGAGTTCCAGATTGTGGGGGCAGAGAGGCTGAAACCCCGGCCACCGATGGTAGGGAGGGACGGGTGGGAGAGATGGACCTGGCTGGAGCCCGCTGAACGGAGGGAGCGGGCAGGTTGGTAGGGAGTCAGCAGGTCAGTGAGGTAGGAGGGGGCAAGGCCATGGATCTTGAATTCGATCCTCTGGGGAATGGGGAGCAAGTGGAGTCAGGCAAGGGTGGGAGTGATGGGGTCACGGAGCCTGGTGTGCGAGTGTACATGAGCTGCAGAGTTTTGGATGATCTGCAGCTTGTGAAGGGAAGAGTTGGGAAGGCCGATGAGGAGGGAATTTCCATAATCGAGCCTTGATGTGACAAATGCGTGGGTGAGGGTTTCGGCAGCCTGAGGGTGAGGCAATGGCGGAGGCTGGCAATGTTGTGGAGGTGGTGGCAGACAGTGCCGGTCATGGCGCGGGTGTGGGGGAGAAAGGACAGTTCAGAGTGAAACAAGACACCCAGGTTCCTGACTGGCTTAGTGAGGTTGAGTGTGCAGCCGTGGAGGCTGATGCTGCCAGCGCTCAAAGTGCGGAGGCGCTGGCACGAGCCAATCAGGAGGGCCTCGGTCTTGCTGACGTTCAGCTGGAGAAAGTTGTCCCTCATCCAGGACTTAATGTTGGACAGGCAGTCGGTCAGGAGACCAGTAGTCCTGGAGTTGAGGGTGGAGGCAGAGAGATAGTGTCATCCGCATACATGTGGAAATTTACCCCATGTCTGCGGATGATGTCACCAAGGGGGAGCATGTAGAGGGTGAAGAGGAGGGGACCGAGGACAGAGCCCTGAGGAACTCCGCACGAGACGGTGCAGGGGCTGGAGGAGAAGCTGTTTGCTGAGACAAAGTGGAGGCGGAGTGAAAGGTAGGACCTGAACCAGTCAAGGACAGAACGTTGGAGGTTGAGGTGGGAGGAGAGGCGGTGGAGGAGGATTGAGAACCTCTGTTAGAACATCAGAACCTAAGAAATATTTACTATAAGAGCATAAGAATTTGGTTTGCCTTCCGCCTTCCTGGCAGTGGCTTGACATGTCGTGTCCCAAGCCATATAACTGTATGCCAAGATATTAGTATTTTCTGGCAGAAATCAATCTAATTTGTTCTTGAAACGAAAGAATACTTCTGCCACAGGAGGGGAAGGCAGGGCAGAATATCGGGGCTACTTTTTGGGCTGGTTTTGGGCGGGTGGCTGGTGAGCTTTGGGCTACAAACGGATTGAATCCCCTGAGGGGGGGCGGGGTGGGCGGGAGTGGCGCGGCGTGGGTGACGTCAGCGCGTAGCCCTCCGTCGCCAGGAGCACGCACGCAAGCGCGCGCTCGGCTCGAGATGGACGGAGGCGGCGAAGGTTTCTCGGCTCCTGTCGCTCTTTAACCTCATTTCGGGCCGACAGAAAAAAAAGCCAAACCAAACACGACATAAGTCCGCTTTAGCGACAGGAGCACCGGCTCGGGGTGAGAGAGAGAGAGAGAGAGACGCACAGAAACCCCGGCCTTCTCTTGGGGAAGGGGAGCCCTGATCAGCGCTATCCTGGTTGTAGGCTTTGGGCCTAGTCGAGGCGCACAGGTCGCCATCGGAACTTTGCTGCCCCACAAACAGCAGTCGCCCCTCTCATTGACAGTGTTAATGTTTATTCTCTCCACGCGCGGGCCCAGCCCTGCCTTGCCTGCCCTGCTTGCCAGCCCTGCCTGCCCTGCCAGCCTTGCCTTGCCTTGCCAGCCCTGCCCTGCCAGCCCTGCCTTGCCTGCCCTGCTTGCCAGCCCTGCCTGCCCTGCCAGCCTTGCCTTGCCTTGCCAGCCCTGCCCTGCCAGCCCTGCCTGCCCTGCTTGCCAGCCTTGCCTGCCCTGCCAGCCTTGCCTGCCCTGCCCTGCCAGCCCTGCCAGCCTTGCCTTACCTGCCCTGCCAGCCTTGCCTGCCCTGCCCTGCCAGCCCTGCCAGCCTTGCCTTACCTGCCCTGCCAGCCTTGCCAGCCCTGCCCTACCAGCCCAGCCTGCCTGACTGCCCTGCCTTGCCAGCCCTGCTCTCCTGTGTCGCGTGGCTGCTGCCTGTGGTAACTGTGGGCTGAGTGAGCAAGAGCCGAGTGCTTTCTCAATGCTATAATCCCTGCCTTTGATACAGCAGCGCCTTATGTCGAGACGTCTCGAGGCGCTTCACAGAATATACTGTAAAAGGAATTGACTCGTGTTTTGCGAGTGAGCGTTCCGCGTCGCGGTGAAGCCGGGTGTTATTTCCTCTGATTGTCCACTCCCCGTCACCTATTCCTTTTTTTTTGAAAAAAAATCCAGTCACCATTTCTGGCTCCCCACAGTGACGACTGTTGATGGTAGGAGCTGGACAAGTCTGGGCAGGGCTCACCACATAGTAATGGAACACCCCGCATTTGGTTGGGCACCTTATAATGTCATAAGTGTCTCAAAGATCTTAATACACTTACTTTGAAGTGCAGTGGGTGTTTTGTTGCCAATTGCAAAGACTAATCTGCCAGTAGCAATTCATAATGGAAAAGTGGATAGCTCTTTCAGGGAGCCGACCAAGCATGAGGTGCAAATGTCTTAGCTATGTTTTAAAATTTTATGCTTCCAGGATCAATGAAATGAATGATCCCGTTTTGGGGAATTTATTCAAGACTACTGCTATTATGCTTTATGTTGGGACACAAACGCATTTTTCAACTTCGCTCCTTCCAATCGTACTTGAACTATTCACAATTTAAACACAGAAACGAAAGGCATCTTTCGTTGAAACATAGAAATGAAAGGCATCTGTTTGCATGAAATATGGTTTACATTATAGCTTAAATGTTATGGCTTTCTACTGGATTCTGTATTTATTAATTATGCGTTATTGATTTTGTCTTCAATTAATCCCATTTTGGTATTTTGTAACAGACTTATCAGCAATTTTGAAGTGAAAGAACGTCAAAGTTAAAGTAGAGTGTTATTAGATGGAATGGTTACATGTAAGAATGACTGGTTTGCAAAAAGTAAACACGTATCTTATTCAAAGATGGTAATGAAATTGGTCCTTAACTATTTAATACTGTGATGTGTCACTCAGCATTCTTGGCTTTTTGAAAATAATAATAATAATCCTTGCAGTTGATATAGAGCCCTGTCACATCTTTGAGACGTCTCAAAGCGCTTCACAGAATATATTGTAAAGTGAATTGACTGTATATTGTGTGGGCCAAATGTAAATGTTACACATTTAAACAAAATGCCAAGAATGGATCAGGGGATATAAACTAGAAGCTCACTGCGAATAGGCTGTCAACTCTTGTAACTTAATTATTTTTATTACAGCACACATTGGAGTGATGATATGTTATTACCCATGCGAGGTGTTGTAAAAGTGCAAGTTAGCCACTTGTAGCTTGATAATGTACATTTTTTGATTTTTCAAGAGTATGTTTTTTAGGGTATGTTTGCTCCTCTAGTTATTTGCATTTGTTTTCATTCTGTATTGTTTGTCCATTTGATCCTCCAGTTATAAACTATAGAGGATGGCTGTAAATTGGATTGGGAGCCTTGTTTCTATCAACTGTGGTGAGACACTTGGAGTATATCAGGGAAAAATTTCTGCAGTGGATCAGACCAGTCAGACAATCTCCCTTACACAGCCATTCCGCAATGGAGTGAAATGTTCTGTTCCTGAGTTGACATTTAGGTAAGTACTGTACTTTTGATCCAAAGTGTTAAGCTGTTGAAGTGGAACAATTTTTTTTTCTTTTCCCAAATTGCAAATATATGATGTTCAGTTCTACATTTTTATTACTTCTTCATTAAACACAGGATTTTGAAGGAAGCTAATTTGTGGCGTTTCAAAGATGTCCTACAATCTACAACTTATCTTTTCTACTACTTTTTTGGTTTGATTTGCAGCATTTTTTTCATTAAAAAAACCCTTCTTTCCCTGCTGTGAAATCTGCTTCCACAGACAAGTATGAAATTGCGGGTTTAATTGTATTTTCTGTTATTTACAGTGCAATAGACATCAAGGACTTGAAAATATTAGAGATCCCTAATTTACAAACAAATACAAGTTCCACCCAGCCTTCATTGTTCACAACTACTAGTTTGTCACACAATGCTTATTCATCTCAGAATGGTGCTGCAAAAGGTGTAAAGAAAACAAATGCTTCAGGAAGTGCACCACAAGCAATCCCACGCCGTGCAGAGCAAAAAGTTCAAGATGTGGTCATTTCCCCACAACAGTATTCTAAAAGTTATGTAGACCGCCATATGGATTCTGCCCTCACTCCATCAAAAGGATTTCGTCGAAGACATAACTCTTGTGAGTAGCTTGCATCTTTCCCAGTTGCATGACAATCACTATTTAATTTAGTTAATTGCACTGTTTCTTGAACTTGTTTAAAGATCTGGAGAACAATTCAAAATATTTTTCTCCTGTAAATATGTTTCTTTGTTGCCTCCTCTTCCCAAGCTTCCAGACTGACTTTTATATAGTTCAACAGCATTAATTGCCATCCAGTACCAATCCCAACTAGCCATGTGAGTTTAGACATGATTGCTAGCAGGCTGTGCAATTATAAGCCACATTACAACCAATACTGCCCTCACTTCTGATGTGCAGATTGGTCACTGGATGGTAATTCGCCCTTTTCCTTACATAGAATTAAAGTAGACCATAAAGCATCAAAATATGCCATTCATCCCAGCTTCTCCACATCAATATTTATGCTCCACCCATCTTTATTCCTTCTTCCAATTGTACTCCGTACCCCTCTATTCTCTTCTCTCTTATGTATGTGCAGCTCAGGAGTACTGAAACCAATTTAGGACTAAGGATTCTGTTCTGATTAACATATAGCTATCCCTTCTAATTGTTCTATCTTTTCTTGTACTCTCACATTTACATTACCATGCTCTTCTTCAAAAAAGATAGTCATTTAGTATTTAATGCTGATCCTTCATCCTCCATGACAAATTTCCCTTTCATTTCTAATTGGGTCTAACTTTCTTTTAACTATTCTATTGTTTTTTATGGGTTGGCTCAGTAGGTAGCAGTCTCGCCCGGGTTAGAGTGTTGTGGGTTTAAGGTGAACGTTGCGTCTTTGAACTTAGATAGGCTGAACTCCAGTGCAACGCTGGGGGGTGTCGCATTGTTTCAGGTGCTGTCCTTTGGATGAGACATGGCCCTCTGTTCAGAGGAACATGATCCAATAGCACTATTGGAAAAGGGAAGGGAGTTCATGGTGTCCTGGACAACAATCTTCTTTAATAAAATTGGTCAGTCACTTAATGCCTGTTTGTGGCATATTGCTGTGCGATTAACTTAGTGTCTCAATCAGCCGCCTTGATACTTATGATGTTCCTAAAATGTAACCATCAAACACTGAGCCGAATTTCTCACTTCTGTACTGAGTGTGTGGTCACCATTGCAATTCTCCAGCTGTTCCTGACCAGAGCACTATATTTTCAACATTATTTCTGAGCATTTGAACACAGTCAACTTGGCAATGTGACCTAACTTACTTTCTGAATTTGTTGATTAGTATTTCATACTTTTTTTGAAATAGGGAGCAAGAAGTTCTTTTTAAGCTATAGTGGAGCCTTGTAGCTCAGTGGTTAGAGCACTCGCCTCACAAGCGAGAGACCTGGGTTCGATTCCCGGCAGGGCGAAATGTTGGGCAAGTTTCCTTACTCCACACGCCTCTGTTTATCTAAGTAGGAACCCAGTTGTTAGTCAATTGGTGGATCGCTTTTCCAGGGGTAATAATTCCTTCAAAAAACAAGCAATAAATTGGTCACTTCAATCCACGACTGTTTGTGGGGCACTGCTGTGTGCAATTGACTGCCACGTTTCGCCCACAAATACACTTTCACTTCACTTTTCAGTATATTTTGTGAAGCGCTTTGAGACATTTCGAAGATGTGATAAGGCGCTACATCAAATGCAAGGATTATTATGGTGCATTGTCATCCATTGCTTTCATTGTAAAGAGTTACACGTGAGGAGTGAATTGTGGATGACTGATGGCTGGCTCAGGTATGCGGTAAATGTATCCAGTTGTAATGGGATAGATGAAGTCAGGTGTATTATTATCCTCAGGGTTTTCTTTGGTTTGTTTGGCAGACTTATGCCATGGGGATGGGTGGGGCATGGACAATGCACCTGTGCTGTTGGCTAAAAGCCAGAAACTGAGAGCAAATTTGAAAATCTTTTCATTGAGCCTTATCGACTATATGGTTCTTTCAACTGCAGTATTGCTGACTCACAAACTCTGCTTAGGTACTTTTGTGACTTGTCTGTACATCAAAAGATAAATAATATAGTATAGCAAATATTCACAAAATATAATGTGTAGTAAAAGATCATGCCAGATCAAATGAAACAAATTAACCTTATGGACCCTGGTATCTTGTGTGATGCTTATGCTAGTAATGATTTCCTATCTGTTTGGTGTAACAATTTGGCACTATCTTTCTCTTTCACAGAGATTTTGTGAATTTTCTTTTTGGCTTTGCTTCCCACTCAGCTGTCAAAACAAGAAACTGTGTGTAGAAGATAGAGAGTGAGTCAGTTGGATTTTAATACAGATAATGTTTTACAATGTTCATAGGAATATGTTTGCCAGAGACTAAATTTACAAAGAATCACATCTTGTTTGCAAACATTATTTCAATCCCTTGTTTTTTGGAGACTGAAAAGCTACTCTTATATTGCATTAAACTGTTGATGGAATATCAATAGAGCAACAACAATAACAAATTGCATTTATATAGCGCCTTTCATGTTGGGAGGATGTCAGAAGGCACTGGACAGTCAAGGATTTCCACCCAAGCTGGGTGTTGGACTCAGTAGGGATTGGGCTTGAATTAGACATTAAAAGTCAAATCATATTCAGAGGTACGGTAGTGTATTAATATCATCTTTGGTTTTAAAGATTGCATATACAGGGCAAAGTGTGAGAGTACAAGAAGGAAAGGTAGAACAATTAGAAGGGATAGCTATGTGTTAATCAGGACAGAATCATAACAGTCTTTTGTCTTTCTGAACCAGAGCCTTACTGAACAAGGGACAAGAAAATTGAGTTTAAATCTGGATTATGTAGACCACGTGGCAAGAGATCCCAAACATTTGGTACCTGTATTAACAGGTTGGAGGGAGTTGAATTTTAAATTTGAGGTTTCTTTAGAGCTGAGTTAGACATGACATATCTTTTAATTTTCTCCCTTTCTGAAGATGCTGACTGAAGCTGGTGTATAAATAAACAGCAGCCCTTCAGTACTTTGCCCAAGTGGCTTTGTCATACATCAGGCTGGACAGTGAGTACCAGCAGGCTGTTTTACCATAGTCAAACGTTATCAATCTCCAACCATGTGTATTGTATGTACTTTTGCCAGCAGAATTCACTGCTTCATGAATAGGAATGTCTACTCCAGGGTAAGTGAGCTGAACTCTAGCAACCCTTAAGTGAGAACAGCTAAATCCGACCTGTGTTTGAAGCTTGGACCTTCCTGAACCAGACTGGACAGTACATTTACCCACTGAATTATTACAAGAGCTTAATGCACAAATATTGTATATTTTGTCCACCGTCATCAAACATCATCTTCCATTACCCAAATCATTTTCAGGCCCACAAATAACTAAGTTTATGAAACTAATCAACATAGTAATAATCCTTCCATTTGGTACAGCATCTTTCATGTCGAGAGGACATCTTAAAGTGATTCACAGGATATACTGCAAAGTGGAGTGACTGTATTTTGTGGTAGAATATTATTTAGTAAAAGCAGAATTTGTATACGGCAGCTGGGCTGTGATGTATAGAGGTCACCTTTGATTTGATTATACAATATAATTTTTAAAAATACAACCTCCATAATGCAGGCTAAACAAAAGAGGCCTTGTCTTTCGGATAAAGAAATATCTTTCGATGACCTTAGTTTCAAAGGTAATTTCTTACTCGCTGTTTGGCACGAAGGCAATAATTAATAAAAGTGGGTGTGTTGAGGTGGGCTGACGAGAGCAATAAACAAGGCATAGGTTAAATTAGTGAAAGATAACCACTGTTTTAAACCTAATTTTTGCTTATTAAAGTATGTGGAGCTTATGAACGATTTGGAATACTAATCATAGTTTTAAAAATGCATGTTCTAAGGGCTCCAATTGATTTGTTAAATTGCAACGATGTATATATTGAGTCTTATCAACTGACGGGCAATGCCTGAGGTCATGTTAGCTAATAGAACAAATTGCTTTATCCTATTAGAAAGCCCCATTTTTATCTCCACCCATGTCGTGCAACAGAGGGGGGAACTGATTAGATCAGTTTCATCTTGTCTTGACAATGTAATCTTATCTTGTTTACATTACACCACAGACTCTGATAATAACTCATTGCTTATGATCCTCTTAACTGAGAAACCATATGAAACACCAGGCGTGTTATAAAGTAAAGTACATATTTACACAGCAGAAACATTTTGCATCACATAGTGGATAAAGCGTGCTTTCACTTTAAAGAGAAGGGGCAACTCCTGATGTATGCCTATTACAGATTTGTGTTCGAGATTAATTTCTGTGTCGTCTTGTCTCCACTGGTGCTCAGAACCAAATGGTACTAACCCATTTGCTTCTTCTTTATATGTTAGTCAAGATAGTAAATGTCTGAATAATTTGCAACCAGTGGGACCCAAGTCTTCCCCATTTTCCAGCTGGAGTTACTGGACATCATTGGGAACAACTGGGGAAAGGGAGGAAGTGACGAGTAATCCATATGAATCTACGTTGCAAGAATTTAATTTCATCCATATAAATCTACGTTGCAAGAATTGAATTTCAGCCATTATTTCTGCTGGACTTTGTGGGGGGGAAAAAGTAAAACAAGGAATTTGACTGCTGAGCTAATCGACTAATCGGTTTCGCCCAAAAATATACAGTCAATTCACTTTGCAGTATATCTGTGAAGAGCTTTGAGACACCTAGAAGACGTGAAAAGCGCTATATCAAATGCAAGGATTATTATTATATTAAATCCCAAATTCAAAAATTTTCTAGCTAACAAACCTGTGAAGGCTGAGCAGGATTTTTACATGTGTGTGCAAATTATTGTGAATATTTAAATATAAATTCACATATAAATGAACATGTAGAATTCACACGAAGGTTTAGTTTTAATAATGTAATCCCTCCAAAACAATAATAAGTTGGTCATTTTTAATCCACGACTGTTTGTGGGACACTGCTGTGTACAATTGGCTGCCGTGTTTCGCCCACAAATATACGGTCAATTCACTTTACAGCATATTCTGTGAAGCGCTTTG